CTAAAGCAGAATAGCTTTGTTATTACTAGCACAGTAAACCCTATCAGTGGCTTATTAGTGATATTTATTTTTTGCATGGTATTTTGCTAGGCTAATAAATCCCATTTTTATTTCTAATGTAGTGCTTCAGTTTAGGCAGGTTTTTAAAGATGGTTTTTTGTTCTCTGTTATTGTCCCTCTCAGTGCTAGTGAATTACATTTGCATTCCTTCAAATTGCTCTTTCCTGTTTGGTGGGCTAAGTTTAAGATGAAGTCCGATGACAATGAGATGGGAGACATCCTGGGGAAACTCAGTTTACTGCAGAAAGTGCCATAGCACATTTAGCACGTGGACTTTTCTTATGAGTCAACGAGAAGCAGTCTCAGAGCACAGGACCACCAGGCACCCCCAGCCCTGCTCACAGCCCAGCACCCCACGGCAGCCCCCCTGGCCATCAGCCCCCACCCGGTGATGCTGTGGCAGGGCCGGTCCCCAGGTCCCACAATGTGCCAGCCCTGGATGTGCCCCTTGTTCAGCCCTGCCACTGTAGCCCTGCCTGGCAGTCGCCCTGAACCCTGGCCAGCAGACTGACTTCCTGGCCTGAGCATGGACCTGCCTCATCACCATGAGGTTTCCTGGCTCTTGGTTGGACCTGGCCCCCATTTGCACATCTGTCCCTCTTGCCTTCCTGTGTGTGTGGGACAGCCCTGGGCAGCAAGGCACTGGGGCAGGGAGCTCCACAGCTTCTGGCACCCATCCTGCTGGATGATGTGCAAGGTCCTAACCGCTTGTGAGTACTTAAAGTTCCCGTCATATCTTTTCCACCAAGACAGGAGCACTTTCTCCTGGATTGTCATCAGATTTAGTCTGACTGATTACGTTCGGGCTTCCCAAATTACTTGTCAGGCTTCTTTTGTTGAAACTCATCTGTATGGAATCCACTCAGACAGGAAAGAGGATTTATTGCTCCTTTTCAAAAAAATTTGTTTTGTTTTAAAGTGTAATTTTGTTTTCAGAAAATCTATTTTTTATGTGGTGCCATGTGTCTGGTAGTGGATATGTGAGGGCAGGAGGTGAGCTGTGCAATCAATGCCTGCAGGAGAGGGTTTGGTTTGTGAATACAAAGCTTAGGCACTTCAGGGATATTTGAATTCGCAAGAATGTGGAACTCTTTGGTGTAAGTGTTTTGGTCTTGCAAATGTAGCTGGGGAAAATGTCCTGTGCCCTGAACTCCTGTCACTGGGGACTTGAACTTTCATGAAGTGTGGATATTTTTAGTTCTTTTTGCACTGTTACCTTTCTGATAATTTCAGTAAGAAACTACACTGTATTGTAGTCTGGGAGGCATAGGAAAAGGACCACAGGGAAGAACAGGAGACTACAGAAAAGTTAAAAGAGAGGAGAAAGAAAAGAGGCGAGGAATGGAGATTAATACAGGAGAGTGGTTCAAAAGCAGGAGAAAAAGCATGAAGAGGTCTTGAATAATTTTCTGTCTGGATGCTAAGAATATGTGCCTGTTCCATCTCCCTAGGAGGTTTATGCAGAGCCTTGTGTGGAAGCAGCAATGAATTGCTCCTTTGGATGCTAAGTGTAAAATTAAAACTGGCAGGGTCTGAGAGCACAAGACTGGGAAGCTAATTGCTCCTAATAACATACTGATTTTCACAGATTTCTGGCATTATGTCAGAGCAGTTTTGAACCAGCACCTGGTTTCTTCCTCTTCCCATCTCCAAGCTAATGGCAGTGAAGCTTCTGGCGCTGGGATCACAAATAAATGCCACTCAATGTTTTTGTCTGCACAAATCTGTGGGGGTCTCAAACATGATTTCATGTATTGCTCCTATGCATCCAATATAATAGCTACCCTAAAAGTAGAAGGGTGGCAGAAATGTGCATGTATTTTAAACTTGGATAACTGTGCTGCTGCCTGTATTTATGGTGCTGAACAAAGCGTTGCAGTCCCATTGCTGCAGGTGGCTGAGGACAATTGAATGGATGCCTGCATTCAGGCAGAAGTTGCCAGCACAGGTGTCTGGGGGGCTGAGGTCATGCACTTGTTGCCAGGTTACACTCAACCCTGAGCAGATTTGCTGTATGTTTTGCTCAGCTGTAACATGCTTTTCTCAAACTTTGAGGACTGACTGTCAGGAAAAGGAAATAGATTTTCCTTGTAAGACTGCTACTAGGCAATACCCTCTTCTGAAGGGTTTTTTTCATAGCTGGAGGGAATGTTCTGCTTGCAAGATAAGCTGAGAGGCTCTCAGATACTCCAGACTATGAAGGCTTGCAAAGTGAGAATTAAATGTTGTCATTTTTGGAACACATCAAGTGCATAGGGCAAACACAAGAACAGAACATTGTCTCCTGGGATTGTGTGGAGCCTGTTTCAACAGTTTTTAGATATTTAATTTTATCTGCTTAATTGTTACGAGGTTTCATCACATTGTGTTTGTAGCAGACTGGCTGGAGAAGGGACATTAATACCTGATTTAGGCTACTGTGGGATGTGAGCTGAAATACTGTTCAGATTTTATGTCATCTTCAGCAATTTTGAGTATTCTTCAGGTCTTCCTTACATTAGTATAATAGTAAGGGTTGGGATTTCTAGTCTAAGGACAGTAATTATCTGGCAATGGGATCAGTAAAGCTGAAGGATGCAAGTTCTTATTGAAGGGAAGAGACTCATTATTACCATGCTTTTGGTTTGTTTGAGTCACTGCAGAAAAACTCATGTTTTCAAAGCACCTAATGCATGATACTGTGGAGAGGGGAGCAGCAAAGCTGAGACACTTGTGTCAGCTACTCCCACTCATAGTCCCGATGTCCTCCAGCCCCCTTCTCCCAGCTGTTCATGTGCTAGGGCCAGCAACTGTTTCATGCAAGGCACATCTGAGCTGAAGGCGTCAAAAGAGCCATTTCATGCTTGACTGCATTTTCTAATACAATCTGCAGAGAGAGAGAGAGAGGAAAGAGAGCAAGAAAGGTTTGTGTGTACATAGGCATTGCCTTTGAGTGTATGTATAATATACAGTACATTTAGTTCCAGCTTGCAGCTGTGGGTGGCAAGTGAGAGGTGCAGACGTGAGGGGGAAGAGAATTACACTTTGAAAAGCAGAAACTATTCTTCCACCTTGAAAAAGAAGCTTTCTTTCCTTCTCTGTTTCTTGACCAAATGAAGATGTGGGACCCCAGGAGAGCACTGGCAGCTGGTACCAGAGATGTGTGTAATGTAATGGCTGAGTGGGTGATGTGTGTGGAAAGCTTTCTGTGTACAGACCATGACAGCGTGTGGTGAGTGCAGCTAAGAAAACTGATGAGTAGGGATGTTGTTCGTCTTAATGGTGCTCCTAGAAAAGTTTTCTTAATATGTTTGTGTGTCCTGTGACTGCAGATGTGCTGCATACCAGCTATTAGTGTGGTGTGTTGCTGTACCAGCACAACTGTAGGGATCCCTACTAAATGTTTTGGAACCATATATGTGTCTTCTTTGTCATTTTATCAGCTTAATATTTCTATATTTATTTATCACCTCATTTGCATATTTATTGCATTGCATTAACAGTTCTCTTACTGACCATTTTGGAGCTTGCCATGAGTATTTTACGGCATGGACATTGGGCTGTTCCTCAGTTTCCCACCCATTTACCCTACTGTAGCATCTGACATTCAGACATTGAGAGGATGTAAGGTTTGACTCTGCCAAGATTGCTGTTTCCTGGTGGAAGTTCTGCTCTCATTGGATGGGAAAAATGGGACTAAGGAGAACATCAAACATTCCAAATACACGTGTTGCAGTTGGTTAAATTAGATGGGTTGGGTAGTGAGGTGCTTGGAGAGAATCCCACTCATCATTTGAGAAAACTTCAGGTCAACTGAACTGGATGAGGTACTGGTAAGAGAGCTTTAGAGCAATCCATCTGTGTTTTCATGTTAGGGAGCTGAACCAGTCTATTTTTTTTAAACTCTGGGATTTGATATGTAGTTTTATGGTAGAAGCCCTATATGGAGCAATCTGTACAGCTCTGCCTTTGAAAGGGGTTGACTGTGGGGAATAGAAATTCTCTGATTCATGTATTAATATATTTATGTAGATTAGTAAAGTTTGCAGATAAAAATGCTTTTGAGCATATTCCGTGAAGAAACAATGATTGCCATGCTGTAGTGCTTGCTGCAGTTCTAACACAGGACTTTAATTCTACTCCTTAGAGGAGAATATCACTTTCTGCAGGCAAGACCCTGAACAAATAGAGAATGCTAAATTTAACTCTTTTCCTCAGCTGAAATTCCAATTTTCTTTGACATCTTCAGAGATGATAGAAAAATATAACTTTTCTTCACTTCTTTCCCCTCCTACTGGCATTCATTGTGCCTCTATCTTCTAACACTTTTCCAGCATTTGAATGGCACTTGCAGTGAAGTTTGGTTTGTTCCTTTCTTCAGTTGCATTGATTGTGTCAGCAGAGCTCTACTAACACTGGTTGTTAGTTAAGTAGTGGAAAAATATAAAATCAAAAAATGGAACAAATCTGATTTAGAAGAGGGCTATTAGGAAATTCACTTTATACAGTTGTTTGTCTTTAAATTGATATCAGTGAAATGAAATTCCTCTCTAAATAAGCAACAGCAAGAGTACCAGAAATTAGAACTCTAGTCGCTCTAGTCATTACTGCTAGTCCTGGGAAGGCTGGACTTCAGTGCACTGGAGGAGATGTGGAAAACCAAGCCTTTGCTAGCTTATAATAATCACAAAGGGGCTCTGTCCTAACATGCTTGAACTTGGGAATTACGTGTCCATGGGTACTGCTGTGACCAGTTGCAGTGAACACCATATCTTTGTTTGCCGCTCACTTTTGCCCCACAGGGTTTCTGGGTGCAGTTAAATGTTGCATTTTTTCCCAGTTACATACCCTTCTGTGGGAAGTGCTATGGATTCTGTAAGCACAGTGCTCTGTGGTAGGTGTGAGTGCTCTTCAGTGGTGTAACTTCTCATTTTTTGCAATTGTTTGCTGATTTCTTGCAGAGGCCTCTATCTTGAGCTATGATGGCAGCATGTACATGAAGGTCATCATGCCCATGGTTATGCACACAGAAGCAGAAGATGTGTCCTTCCGTTTCATGTCCCAGCGTGCTTACGGGCTGTTGATGGCAACCACCTCCCGAGACTCTGCTGACACCCTGCGCCTGGAGCTGGATGGAGGCCGCGTCAAACTTATGGTCAATTTAGGTATCGTATAAACACCTTCCACTGCCCTCTTCACTATTAGTTTGGGCTTGTGTTTAGTGGTTTTTTTAAAAAAATGATTTCATTTATTTTCTGTTGGTTTGATTGGATTGGATCGATTTCTAAAATAACTGCTGAAACTTGTATAATTATATTCTCTTGCGGAGAGAAATTCTCTTCTGCATTCCTGCATGAAGATTTGCTGTCAGTTCTTCGTTATGGACAGTGTTGGTTTTTAAGTCCTTAAGTTTTTAAGTTTCCTTTCTTGGTCTGGGACTGGTGAGCTCTGTGTGAAACATGCTACTTGGTCCATCTTTTGATCAGTTACATCCCTCATTCATCCAGCATCACTCAAAACAGTCAAAGGCAAACATGGAAAGGAAACAAAATGGATATGGTGGCAAGCAGAAGTCCTATGAGCCCCCTGTCCTTTGCATAATTTGGCAGCAATTGATACAGCTTGCCATATTTTATATATCTAATAAAAAAGGCTGTTTTTTTTGTTGTGTCTTTATAAAAAGAAATTAACATAAATAAAAGTGCATCCCCCAATCCCAAATGGCTGTGTTCTGTCTCCTTAGAATTGCTCTTTCCGAGAAAATAATTAAAGAAGACAATTAGAAACAAGTCCAACAATACAAAAGCAATTGGGAGTGAATGTGCTATTAGATTAGTTTCAATTAATTTTCTTGCCATTCTCTAGGTATTCTACAGAATGACAGATTTTTAAAGAATGTAAATATATGAGTTGAAGCATTCTTTCACTTTCCAGTGATGCAGCTTGTTGCTTCATGTAAATTCAGGAATATAAACAAAAAGAGGTTCTGCCTCAAAGAGGTAAAACTAACATAATATTGCAAAATCTTCTACCTCTTCGTGTGTAGGTTATTTTATATGAAGGTTTGTGTATGGTCTGTGAGAACTTCTGTCAGCTTTTAAAGTTCTAAGGCCCACTAGAACAAGTTGCACATTTTTTGAGCTAATAGTATCACCATCTTCAGAGCCCTGCTGTGGCTACCAGAAGCAAACCATGTAGCAGCTTTGTATGTAAAATATGCTGTCCTCTGGAACTAGCTTGCTTTTTAAATTTGCATCTAGTGGTTTTTCTTTTGGCTTTGAAATTGTGACCCAGACCCTATTATTTACTTTTTGAATAACAAAGTGAAGAAGATGCATCAAACAAGTTCATATTTCTTAAAAGAAAGGTGCATCTAAAAGTCTATAGAATCTCTTGCCTTCTAGTAAATAAAAGCTGAACACCAACCAAAAAACCCCCATATATTTGCATATTTGCTCTGCTTAGCTTGACTGAAGAAGCCTAAAACTCCGTTGAGTCTGTAGCTGCATAAAAGCACTCGCTGTGCTAGCCAGACTGGCCTATTGCACAGATGGGATAGATGAACCTCAGCTGTGTCAGTAACTCCAAATAAAGAGAAGCAGCACTCTGATGATAGCCATCTCTGCCTATATTAACTCTAAGTGAAGGAAAATTTCATACATTTGCAGGGATTCTCTGGAGAACGTCTCAAAAGAACTGCTGTTGATCCTCCTTACATGTAAAATGAGAATTTTACACAAAACCCCAGAGTTTTTGTGTATCTATATGTATTTGCATTTTCTTCTGATCTAATTAGTTGCCAATAATCAAGAAAAATAAGATTATATTTATCCCATTTAATTTCTTGAAAATTATGGCTAGCTATATTTTTCTCAGAAAATAAAATTAATCACTTGGAAATATTGGTAGTGGCATGCTTCTGTGATGGGGCAACTGAGTATCTGCCCAACTCTACAGTATCCTTTTGTAGCCCAGAGCCAGTTCTTTTACTTTTCAAGCCCTAGTTCCTCTACTTGTTTAATGGAGAATTCTTTGCATTCTGTGAGGGATGTGCTAGTATTTTAGTAATGGCTGCTTTTATCACCTTTATATTCCCACATGAGAAGTACTACAGCATGAAAATTGCCAGACTTCATAAAAAAGTCACTTTTTCTTCTGAGAAAGATACCACTTGTTTGATTCTATCTTCTTAAAAATGAATGAGAATTAGGGGAATTGTTCATTTTAGGTGTTCAGGACCTCCTAGACTTAGACCCTAACTGGATATGAGCAGGGTATATTTATATCACCCTGAATATACTTATTTTTTTAAGCTTATTTTTTCCTTTCCAATTTTCATTATATCATGCTGGCAGAAGATATTTTCCCTCAGGGCCTGTCAACATTATAAGCCTGGTTGGCATTGGTCACTCTTGGCACTCACTGGGATTTGTTATGCCATCACTTAGCCTAGAGGTGGACTGTTCAGCTCTGTCTGGCACCTAAAAGATGTGGCTAAAGATTTGACAGATGGTCTACACATGTTGGAAAAAGATGTGTTGTTGGCAGTTTAATGCAGGGACAAAATCTTTAAACAAACCCCTGTGTAAACTGAAGGCTGATTCTGTGTAGAAGTAGGGACTGAAGCCATGTGTATGCCACATTTTGTCAGTTTTTCAGCTATAAATTTTTGTGAAGTTGAATCTTTCCTGAAGTGTCTGTAGGCTGGATCAATGGAAACCTGTCAGCACTCTCCTATGTCTAACTCAACAGAGGGTAGTTTAGAGTTTTGAGGAGAGCTCCATCTCCGGATTGAGCTTCCCCTCTCCATTATTCAGATTTATAAAACTGTCAGAAAATGTCCTTGAAAGAGGACTTTCCTTCTACCAAAACAGCAGTTGCCTTGCTGTTGACGAACAGAATTTGAGGAAGAATCACCAGAGCCATTCATTTCCAGTTGTTTACTCTAAGTCACAATAACTCTGTACGGAGACTGCTCATAGCCCAAATGTCACAAACAACAACTAAATCTTTACCTGACCTTGCCAAAATCTCCTTACCAGTGAGAAACAGTCACCAACACCACCTCTGAAGATCTGAGTATGCTTGGTGCTGACTAGCTATCTGTCGGTATCCCCTGAGCATCTAACCCATGATAGATGTGTGTGAAAAAGGACTGTTTTGAGGGGTGCATTATTTAATTGTGCTTTTCTTATGTCATTTAATACTATTACTAAGAGCTGTCTTCTCTTCTGTGATCTATTCCATTCGATTACTTATTATCATTTGTGTCTTTATTAAGGTCTTTCCTACGTTTTCTTTTCTCTTTTTTTTTCTTTCTTTTTTTTTTTTTCTTTTTTTTCTGGAATTTTTTTTTTTTTTTTAACTCTTCTGTGTGTTTCAGTTGTTAAGCTTTCCCACACCCCATCAGCCATGGTAAATCAAAAGATGGTATTCGACCCTTCAAAGGCCTGAAGCCTGCGGCCCGCACAGCAAACAGCCCTGAGAACAGAGCATACGGAGCAGCCTGCAGGGGCTGGCATATCCCTCTCACCCCTCAAAACCAGGGTCCAAACCAGTCAGGGCAGAGAGATACGGTAGGCGTGGGTGGGCATGGGCAGCTGGGGGCTTGCTCTGGAATGTGGGAAGGAAAGGAAAAGCAGCAATGAATAATTCTCTAAGGAAAAGGGTAAGGAAGTTGCTTCAGACCTTTTCAGTGTGGGTGCCTGAGGCACTGCAAATTTTCATGTTGACAGTAGCCAACATGAGTTGACTCAGTAGTTTGAGTTTTTGTTGTGTGAAGAATAGAAATCCAAATGTGATACATATCTCTGTTGAGAAGGATTTTGAAGAAATGGGTCTGGAGTGGAAGGGGAGAAAGAGAGAGAGAGATATTAGGCAAATCATAGCTTGGAACATGCTTGGGAATAATTTTCGATGCTGAGATGATGTGCAGAAAGGGAAAGAAATGGCTGGTCTGATAGGGAGATCCATGTTCACAATCTTCCTCCCATTTCTAAGTGGCAGGGTTATAATGTTATACTGACTTTCATTAAAGACTATTTCAGGTTTTTTCTTCCTGGTATATTTTTAGGTCACTGGTGACTAGGATAATATTTCATGCCTCCTCTCATTTAAGGAGGTGTAATCATCTCTCTCACCTATCTTTTCCGAAGATAAATCCTGAAAGGTGTCAGAGCCATGCTTGCCCATCCAAAAGGGAAAATTTCTTTTGTCATTTCTACGTAAAAATAGTGCAAATAAGAGATAGGCAAGGAGCCTCAGTATAACGTAGGGAAAGTCCATGCACAGGACGTTACTTGGTTTTCCCATAGGAAATAACTCAGGTGAACTTAGAAAAAGTTGGGCCTTCATTATCTTTTTTGTCCTATTCTTGCCCTAAAGTACTCTTCCACCACCACGTATGGCTGCTCATCCAAAGGATAAAACATTTGTCTTCACACAGCAAAGGATTAAACAGCCTGAAGCCTTAGCAGCATCAAATAAATATCACTATTTTCAGACAAAAATATAAAAATGGTAAGAAATACAGGCCTAAAGTGCAGATCTCTGTTTGCTGCTAAAGATACCTCCATTCAAACAATGGGTCCCTTGTGTCAGCTAACTCCACACAAGGAGAGTGTCTTTGGCCCATTTTCCAGGTGATATGCTCTGGAAAACCTTTCATCTGAGCACTAAGGAAGGAACTTCTGGTGTACATTAGACAATTAATGAAAAGAAAGTAACTGCAGGAGTAACTGCAAAGTCTTGCCAGCTAGTTCTGCTCCCATTGCACTTCCCTACTACCCACCACATTCTTCATCCAATTGCTGAACTGGCAGGTGACTGGATTTACAGCTTTTGAGGCATACTCATCTCCAAAACTTATATCAGAAGTAAATGTGGATAACAGGGCTGAGTGCCCCAGATGATGATTATCAGAAGTCTTACTGCCCTGGTACTGTGCAGGAGGAATCCCAAGGAGTTTTAAAAATTCTTCCTGAATTAGCTGGATGCTGCTGTTTTGAGCACAAAGACACCTGCACCCTCACTGCCAGGAAAAATCTCTGCTTTGGATTTGTACTGTTTTACTAGTTTAGAGGAACATAAGTGTTTTCTTCCTTTTCAAAAACTCATTTAAGAGGGAGAGAACAACTTCATGTGTTAATGGTTGGAAAATTTTCAGACTGCTTGGGCAAGGCTCAAAATCAAGGCAACAAAAAAACCCTATGCACGTTCTTTGATGGTAGTGTGGATGCTATGGTGGTGCTGGGGTAACAGTGCAAGCAGATAACTTCTCTTAGCTGCCCTCCAGGATCCACACCGACCCAGTTAGATGAGAGCTGGATGGGGAGCTGCTTGCTTTGGAGTGCACCTGGCTGTTTTGGTCTAGCTCTCACTTGCATGGCATTGCAGACTGTGCTCACAGTCTGGAGGTGTAGTAGTGCTGTGTCAGGAGAGCCCTCTCAGTGGCTTGGACTCTCATCCTTTGAAATAGGAATCTTGCAGGCAAGGTAGGGGCTACACTGGTTTTCAATTTAAAACATCTATCCCTTCATCTGGAGTAGTGTTTCAGCTGGAGGGCAAGCCCTAGGACAAATAATTATTTTGGTATCACTGAAAAAAAAAAAAACAACAAAACTCTGCGGACATCAATAGCTCAAGAGTGATTTTAGTCTCTTTGATGAATGTTGCTGAGGACCAGCCATGTGTATTTCCCTTTCCAGCACACTTGCTCTTTAGTCTGTAAGAAATTCCCATGTTCCAGCTATAGCAACTCTCTTGACCTCACTTGCCTGTGGTGAGACTTCCGTGTCTCTCTTGCTGTCACTCTCCATCAGGTCAGAGAGCGAAGTTCCCCTGCATGTACTTCAGAGCTCCCTTTACCCCACCCAGCTCCTGTAAGGGATATAGCCACCACTGTATGGTGATCGTAGCAGTTGCTCCAGGGCTGTTTGCTCCCACTTTTCTGTTGCGGTTGACGACACATGACAAACCTAATCGCACAAAACCAAACCCAGATTTTATCAGGAGAAGTTCTGCTTGAAAACAGACTCTCTCTGGCTATGTTACTTATGATTGGTATGTCCCTGCTCATTACAACTCTTTATTTTTTATTTATAGACTCTTGTTCTTTCCCCGCCTTCATTTTTTAAGAACTGAGTTTAGCTGCTGAAATAATTTTCCTACATCTGTCTGAGCAAACACAAAATTGGTCCAGTTAAGAAGTAAACTGCATTATGTTTCTCTGCCATTCTCCCTTGCTGGGCCATATCTCTGTAATACAACCATTCCTGGTGATCAAAGCTCTAGTTGTCCAGACAATGTGTCCACTGCATGGTGTTATTACTCATGACCGTGATTTCCTGCGAGAAGGCCAGTACAGCCCAAGATATGTAATAGCACAAATATGAAAGCTCTGGCCCACATTAGACACCACAGCAGTGGATGTTCACAAGGCTGTAAATAGGCATTTATAAATGAAAGATCCTCTTATGGATCACACCCTGAGATATGCTGAGCATTAGTGTGTTAAAAGAGAGAAGCAATGCTCAGAAGCCCTCTGGCTCAGGCTCTCCTACCTCAACTTAATTTCTTTGTGGAGACTTTCATTACCATTTATTAGATTCCACAAGCATAACTATTTTTTCTGTCCTTGTACCTCTCTTTGTCCCTCCCTTGACTGTGGCCTCTGAATGAAGCAGGGCAGCAAAGGTTCCCAGATCTGCCACTTCACTGCCCGTTTCATCTCGTGCCTGAACGTTACAAACACTCCATTCAGCCTCAGCGTTCAGGCAGCAAGATGAGGTTGGGCTCTGAGCAACTGGCAGGCCTGGGGACCTTTGAAAGACGTTCCCATTCTCCCTGCCAAGCCCCAAAAAAAGTATTCCCAACCTCCAGACCTAGCTGAAATCTGGGCTGGGCGTTCGTGCGGTTAGCTGTTTGCAAGTGGCCATTTTATGATAGGACACAACTGGGCAGTATGTTAACCCTTTCCTCACCTGAACAGACAGTGAGACAGTGTCAAATGTGTCTGTGCACATATTCAAAAGCGCTTTGGGCTGGCTTTGGGGAAATTAGAAGAGGGTCTGTCTTTGGGAGAGCTGGAAAGGGTTAAATATTGCACCAAAAAATCTCATAAGGCTGATTTTACAGGTATTCTCTGTTGACAGATGGTGTATTTTATGCAATAACAATACAAATTAATTTAAAAGAAACCAAGTGTAAAGGTTCACTTTGAGCTTCAAGCTTCTTGGAGAAATTGCTAAAGGTCTCTAAAAAGCAAAATGACACTTGAATATGACTTGTGTCTTGAGGGAGATTTTTATGCCTTAATTGTAATTTTTTTAATTGTAATTCATATCAGTTCATTGTCTGGAGTGGAAGATTCTCTTAGATTTGTAGATTTCTGTAAAAAGAAAAGAACTTTCTGTATCAACATGTGGCTATGTATGTATATTGGTATATTTCTCTATACATATATGTGTATATATATGTGTATATATATACATTTATGTAACAGATATTTACATAGAATATACTGTACATATACACCCACTCCTGAACTTGTATAGGCTGTGTATAAGTATAAAATGGCCACATCTCTTTGCGTGTGTCTGTCCCCGGAAGGGTGGACTGATTGTTTTTGGATGTCTGCAGCTGTTACCTTGAAGGATGCAATTTCATCTTTCATTTATTTTTCCCCATCTAGACTGTATCAGGATAAACTGTAACGCCAGTAAGTTTTCCCTCAAGTTTCATTTTGTTCTCTTTCTATATATATTAAAATAACTTTATTTTCTTTGCTGTTTTATAAGCTGTTTTTCTTTTATTTTTTTCTTTTTTTTTTTCATTTTCTTTAAAAAAATCTTCTGAAATTGAATGGTTTGGGTGGGATATGAAGCTGGAGAGGGAGGAGGGAAGACTTTTAAGGTGATGGTATGTGGAAAATTTTGTATTAGGTTTCTGCAAGGAGGAGATGAACTGTTATTTCATAGCTTTGCAGAAGAGCACCTCAGAAACCTGATGAGCTGATATTATATTTCACTGGTAACCTATTGTCTTTATGGAAACTTTTAAGGAACCACATAAGAATCACAACAGGTACTGTATGCACTTCTCCACTACAAAAAGACAGGCATATTTAAAAACAAAGAAAAGAACCTTCAGACTCTTGCTTTATTACAGAATGGTGACAACTTAAAATGATATTTATTCAAAGCTATTTCTATTTGGGTATAGAATAAAGAAAAAGTAGATTTTATGTATATTAAGTATATTTAAAGTATGTTATATATACGTTCCTGTATATATATATGTGTGTGTATATACATATGGCATTTGCCATTCTTAGATTTCAGTAAGAAATTCCATCTCAACCTCTGGGTCACCTAAAATTCCTTTCAGTATGTACCAGTAGGGAGGAAGGAATATAAAATTTCTGGGAAAAATAATAGTGAAAGATCATATCCATTTCTAGACTGACTGAGCAAGCCAAATCTTTTCTGTTCTACTTCAAAGAGCTGATCAAACTTGATGTCGGCCTCAGAGTAAAAAGCACTCCCAAACACTGGAGTGTTTAGCTCTCAAGTGTGCTTTGAGGTTTATCTTAACTTGTTACCAGATTCCTGAATAGGCAGGTCCTCTGTGTTAGATTTTATGTAGAAGTATTTATGAAGGGTAAATGCCAGCTGATTGAGACCCTACTTTGCATGTAAGTGTGAGCAATTAGTTTTTTTGACTTGGAAAGTGGCTTCTGAGAACCACTGGAATTGGGGAGCTCCCCTAGCTGAGGCGGAGCCCTGATATGCCACAGAAGCTTGTTCATGATAATTTACTTTATTTCAACTATTAAATTGTTATCTCGACCCATGTGTTTTACCTTTTTCAGATTTTCCTCCTCATCCCACTGATGGGAGGAGGGGTGTAAACAAGCAGCTGCATGGTGCTTAGTTATTGTATGGGATTAAACTGCTACATGTGGGATTAGTCAGTGTATGACTCAAATCTTGAAAGGTCTTATTGAATTCCTTTTGCTCTTCGAAGTTTTCACACTAGATTTCAAGATAGAATGTGCAATAGGAAAAAGTGTCTTGAATGTGGTAGCTGAGATTGCTAGATTTTACATAGCAGTGGTGAGGACTTTTACATAAAAATAGGATCTTTTGCTTCATTAGAGTTCATATGCTCTTCCTGCTAAGCCATCTGCAACTCCATCAAAACACTTGCCCCATAGTTCTTCTTGATGTTTGCCATCTGAGGATCTCTTTCCTCTGGTACTGGACAACAATCTGATGTTGTCAACATCAACTTTTGATGACAGCTGCCTGTTAAAGGCTTAGCTATGGAAGACTACCTTCAGGTGGGAAGTCAGCTTTATAGCAAGTAGCGATCATCTGGTTTTTATGCAAATAAAAAGCTAGCACTAACTGGAAGAAATAGTAAAAAAAAAAAAAAAAAAAACCAAGAAAAAAAAGAGAGGAAAAGAGACAGAATTTCGTGTTTTTGTTAGTTTCCCCATAAGCATCAAAACATCTTGAATCATTTTGCTACCATGCATTTTTAATAGTTGATCCTGTTGCATTTTTAAATACAGTCTTCCCCTGAAGGTTTAGATTTATTTCTTTATTTAAAACATATTGGATCTTCCTAATTTATTTTTTATGATGCTTTGCTGAAAATGAACATCTCTACTCTTAGTCCCTCCAATACCTTGGTTTTTTTGCTGCCTGTTGCAATAACTCAGGTCATCAGTCCTGTTTCCTAGACGGGAACCAGCTGGGGATTGGTGAAAACTGTACCCTTGAATGAATAAAATATGGTTAGGCAGAAGCAGACCAAATATCACTGTAAGCATTCCTGCAGGCACACTGACATCTACTTGTGCAGAGGGAGTTATCCACATACAGATATGTCTGCCAGGGTCTGTTGAAATGAGCAGAAGTGTTTCAAAGTAACTTGACAAATGGGCTTCCCAGCAGTTAAAGAGCTTCAGGTCAAGCAGTCGCCGCTGGTAACTGAATAAAAGGGACCCAATGCATGGTTTTAAAGGTAAACAGAGCTGTACTTTTTTGTGTTTTGTGGAACATGTAGCTTAAGAGCCCACTGTTTCAAGCATTGAAGCTCATGCTATTTGAGAGAAGTCTTGCATATTGTCCCAGGTAAGCATTTATACTTGCTCTTCATTTTGATTGAAAAGATTGAGGGCTTTTCTCTTATGTATCTTTGGGCTACTGTACATCTGATGCAAAATATTCTTTTCCATAGTTTCATCTTACCTTCTCTCTGTGCTTCATAATTGTTGTATTTCAGTTTTTTACTGTCTCTGTACTTATTTTAATACTCATCTCATCCTTTCCTTTCACTCTTGAAAATACCAAAACTGAGCTTTTCTGTTTCTGCACATTTAGAAGACCCAACAATGCTTTTGCTCACACGTATGGAGCTGCATAGTAACTCTCTTTTTCCCTGAGTGCAAAATCAGCACAACCAAAAGCAGGACCATGATCTCCAAATAAACTGTGTGAATAAACTGCATTGAACAATTCCTCAACATGCAGACCTAATGGATAGCACAATTTTGTTGGTTGGATTCATGAGGAGAATAGGTATATAAATATAAGTCTCTTGGATTTTTCCCTTTATGTATTTTATTTTTTAAATAGAATTTCCTAAGAAAATGGTCCCTCTCCTGTAAACTGTTTATTGAAATGCATTGTTCACTTTGAAGAAAGTTGAAGTTGTGATAGTTTTATAGTTTGTCACATCTGGTGCTCTGGTTTTTCTTCATTTTTTCAAAGGTATCTAGTCCTGAATTTCATTATTCCATATCCAGTGACCCCACTTCATATCACATTAGATGTGGAGACTTTTTAGCATTCTACTCAGTATTAAGTGTGGAGGGCAGAGCTGTGTGTGCTACAGATTTGTTAGATCTTGGAGGTGTTCTCGCTCAGTATTCTTTTTTGGATAGTATTCTTCATCTAGTTCTCTCTCCTCACAAGCCTTTTATGTGGTGTGTCATTATTCAGTCACATACTTTGACGCTAATTCTATGAGAAATCTGCCAAAAGTAGCTCCTTGGGACAGTGAACACTTCTGTCTTATTGCTTGCTATTTCATAATAAGGCCTTTTCTTCTCACTAAAGCGTGCCAGACAAGCCATCATCTATTTTCATGTCACTTTTGATGCCTCAAAACTTCCATATCTTCTTCTCTTACCTGCTTCTAAAAGCATAAGGGAAGGGAAGGGGGTAAAAAAATCAGTCTAATCACTACTACAAAGTTGATTCTGTGTCTCTGTGAGGTCTGACATTTAACGTGTTCTTTGAAATCCAATAATTTTTGACAATAATGACAGTTAGAATATGTTTGGTTCTCCTGTTTCAGTTGCTGTGCTTACTGTATTTAGTGCCTTATTCAATGCAGTGTTAATTATTCATTTTATTAAGTGCCACTGTAACAACATAAAATATGAATCTATGATGTGTAACTTTCTGGGAGAGGTTTAAAGTTCTCTTTTTTCTGTATCATCATAAGTAAATAGGAAGCTGTGCTAACTCTAATCAAAATATTGTAAAAGCAAGTGCACTTATCCGATTCCTAGTTACATTGCTGTCATTTTAATAAAATCTTAATAGTACTCTAACAAGAAAACATTATTTTGAAAGTGAAGCGGTATGATTAAACATACACATCATATTTGTGACTGTAGTATCTCCTAGCTCCATTTAAACATAATCAGGAAGAAATGACTACTTATGCAGCCTGAAAAGTGTCAAGTTGGTAGTATGTCATATTGTAGTGGTGAAAGCAAAGCTGGTGTCTGTCTGTAGCATCTCTACAGCCCAGCTGAGAATGATTTCACCTTTGAGCAGTCTCACACTTGGGGTTGCTGGTCTGGCTTTGTGCTGCTGCTGCACCACAGTGCAGGAGAAAAGAAGGGAGCAAGCATGTCTTTGGAAGACTTCTTCTGTCAGGGAATCAAAAACAGTCCTCCCAGATATTTGTCAGATGGCAAGATAAGAGATCTGTTAGAGGAGAACCTGCCCTGCTAGATCCAACAGCGCAAGAGAGGTGAGGCTACTGCCATGTTTGCTCCCAGGTTCTATTTGGAGCCAGCTGAAGGTGTGTTCTTGGCAGGCCCAGTGCCAGAGTGCACACGCTTGCTCACAGACCCGCATGCTTTCCAGTCTCTGGCACCATGAACATCTGGGCCTGTTGACCCCATGGTCTGACTCCAGTTGCAGCACTCATAGCCCCATGCACACTCCTGCACAGAGAATAAGGGGCTCTCGCCCAGGAAAGACAAAGACAGGACAGGCTGCACTGATCAGATAGAAATACTGATCAGCAACTATTTACACACCCAGCTCTTTTTATACCCTTACCCCTATATTTATTTTCCCACTCTTGCTCTTCCCAAAATCACCAAAACTTCTCTCTTTTTGTGCCTTTGGTTTCTCCCCTAAACATCCCATAGTAAGTCTGTCTGACACCAAACTGCTTTTCCCCAGCATCACATATATGCCACCCTATGCAGCAATCCCCTTAATCCAAAAGGTGATGTCAAGAGGTGGTCCAGCTATTGTATAGTGATGAGTGTTATGCTTGGACACTGGAACCAGTGACTCTGCTGGAACAGCCCTGGGAGAGACCTGGAAAGGTTTTCATGGCTCAGGAGTCTGTGATTTGTGCTCCCACCTCATACCATGCTCCATGCTCCTCTAGGCTTGTGCA